TTATATATCTAATACTGTATTGGATCATTTTTTTCTTATCCCTAGTACACATAGTACAGGCCATGAAAATCATGGTGGGTAGAAGTAGGCGACTGCTTTTACTGTAAGTGTACCACATGTCTACACATGTGAAAAGCAGTTCGACTTTGCACTTACAAATGTGCCAGAGCCCCCGTTTGGTTACTTGCACTTGCTGGTGGGGTTGGACTTTTGCAAGAATCGGGGGCCATTGGAGCATTTTTGTATTGGATCATTCTGTCTATATATGCAACAATAAAGGGTGGAGTCTTAGAAATTGTATTTATGCAAATTATCATCATGGCGATATAGAGTGAATAATTAGTCTCGAGTTATCATTCAACCAGCACTCACCACGCAGCATGTATATTTTCAAAATTTTGTTTTTCAAACAGAAATAATATATTTCTCTCTCAATACATAATAAGTATTTCAAATATGTATATAATAATGTAGGGGGTCGGTGGAAGGCTGGTTAAACCGTTTGGTTTTCGACCACTAGGACCCGGGTTCGATTCCCGCATTGGACACTTTTTTATGTTAAAAAAAAAATAATAAAAAAAATGCTCCAATGGCCCCCGATTCTTGCAAAAGTCCAACCCCACCAGCGAGTGCAAGTAACCAAACGGGGCTCTGGCATTTGTAAGTGCAAAGTCGAACTGCTTTTCACATGTGTAGACATGTGGTGCGCTTACAGTAAAAAAGCAGTCGCTAACTACCCACCATGATTATCATGGCCTGTACCACGTGTACTAGGGATAAGCAAAAAAAAAATTAAAATGTTTATATAGAAAAATAGTATTTATTATTAAGTTGATAAAGTGATACTTCTGTTGAAGGACTGACAAGTCCGAAAGCTTGAAAATAAAAAGTTGTACAAGAAACTTAAACGTGGAAGCTTTATTTATTTTATAATATATAATTATTTAATAAGAAAATTGTAAAAAAAGGAATATTGTCCGAAAATATGAGATATAGGAGAGAACACACAGTCAGGAGGGGACATACTAAGTAAGAGGAGGAAGAATGTGGACATGATGTTCAGGGAGAGAGGACCAACTATCTACAGAGAATGATGACATCTCAGGACTGTCGTGGTAGTAGCTCTCCTGAGGATGATAGCAAACTATGGACATAAGCTTTGAGGATGGTCGAATTACAGCTGTCTGAATAAACACCAACTAATTGTAAAGAGACACTAAATAGAAACATCTAGAACTAGCTATTTGAGGTACAGCCTGCACTACGCTGTCTAGGACCAATAACCAGTAACATGGTTGACTCCACAGGATAGTGTGTTTATTTGTCCAAAATTCAGCGAAACAATAAAATATCAACTATTTGTTAATATTTATTACGCTAGATGGCGCAAGCCATCAGTAACTTTCAATCATACGACAGAGAGACCAATAGATATAAGATTAACAGCCAGTAACATAGTTGACTCCACAGGATAGTTTCTATTTGTCCATTATTACGCAACAATTTAAATCATGAATATACATTTATTTCAATAGATGGCGCAAGCCATCAGTAACTTTCAATCAGACGACAGAGAGACCAATAGATATAAGATTAACAGCCAGTAACATGGTTGATTCCTCAAGTTAGTTGCTATTTGTCCATTATTATGCAACAATTTAAATCATGAATATACATTTATTTCAATAGATGGCGCAAGCCATCAGTAACTTTCAATCAGACGACAGAGAGACCAATAGATATAAGATTAACAGCCAGTAACAAGGTTGATTTCTCAGGATAGTTTCTATCTGTCCATTATTATGCAACAATTTAAATCATGAATATAGATTTATTTCGACAGATGGCGCAAGCCATCAGTAACTTTCAATCAGACGACAGAGAGATCAATAGATATAAGATTAACAGCCAGTAACATGGTTGATTCCTCATAATAGTTGCTATTTGTCCATTATTATGCAACAATTTAAATCATGAATATAGATTTATTTCGACAGATGGCGCAAGCCATCAGTAACTTTCAATCAGACGACAGAGAGATCAATAGATATAAGATTAACAGCCAGTAACATGGTTGATTCCTCAGGATAGTTTCTATTTGTCCATTATTATGCAACAATTTAAATCATGAATATAAATTTATTTCGACAGATGGCGCAAGCCATCAGTAACTTTCAATCAGACGACAGAGAGATCAATAGATATAAGATTAACAGCCAGTAACATGGTTGATTCCTCAGGATAGTTTCTATCTGTCCATTATTATGCAACAATTTAAATCATGAATATAAATTTATTTCGACAGATGGCGCAAGCCATCAGTAACTTTCAATCAGACGACAGAGAGATCAATAGATATAGGATTAACAGCCAGTAACACGGTTGATTCCTCAGGATAGTGTCTATTTGTCCATTATTATGCAACAATTTAAATCATGAATATACATTTATTTCGATAGATGGTGCAAGCCATCAGTAACTTTCAATCAGACGACAGAGAGACCAATAGATATAAGATTAACAGCCAGTAACACGGTTGATTCCTCAGGATAGTGTCTATTTGTCCATTATTATGCAACAATTTAAATCATGAATATACATTTATTTCGATAGATGGTGCAAGCCATCAGTAACTTTCAATCAGACGACAGAGAGACCAATAGATATAAGATTAACAGCCAGTAACATGGTTGATTCCTCAGGATAGTTTCTATTTGTCCATTATTATGCAACAATTTAAATCATGAATATAAATTTATTTCGATAGATGGTGCAAGCCATCAGTAACTTTCAATCACACGACGGAGAGAGACCAATAGATAAAGGGTTCACAATATGTTAAATAGAAATATTCAATGAAATAATATCCTTTGTGTCAATGTTATGATGAAAATATTTCCTGTCACCGAAAGCTAGAGAAGAATTGTGAATTAAAATTTAAAACAAAGAAACATTTCTCTGTAAACTTTACAATCAAACCTTTCACCGAAATATAAATATGACATAGCAGTTGATATGAACAATATATAAAACTTTGTAGCAAATAAATTTACTGGAAATGTATTTCTTTAATAATATCATCAAATATTATCTCTACAGACCTTACTATAACAAATAAATTTACTGGAAATGTGTTTCTTTAATAATATCATCAAATATTATCTCTACAGACCTTACTGTAACAATCATATTTACTGGCAATGTGTTTCCTTTCAATAATATCATCAAATATTATCTCTACAGACCTTATATAACAAATAAATTTACTGGAAATGTGTTTCTTTAATAATATCATCAAATATTATCTCTACAGACCTTACTGTAACAATCATATTTACTGGCAATGTGTTTCTTTTCAATAATATCATCAAATATTATCTCTACAGACCTTACTGTAACATATAAATTTACTGGAAATGTATTTCTTTAATAATATCATCAAATATTATCTCTACAGACCTTACTGTAACAATCATATTTACTGGAAATGTATTTCTTTAATAATATCATCAAATATTATCTCTACAGACCTTACTGTATCAAATAAATTTACTGGCAATGTATTTCTTTAATAATATCATCAAATATTATCTCTACAGACCTTACTGTAACAATCATATTTACTGGAAATGTGTTTCTTCAATAATATCATCAAATATTATCTTTACAGACCTTACTGTATCAAATAAATTTACTGGCAATGTGTTTATTTAATAATATCATCAAATATTATCTCTACAGTACTTATTACAATGGTAATTAAATGAGAGGGCTTGGCTCATCAGTGGTGAACCCTCTCATTTAATAACTTTAATTATTCCAGTAAGGTCTGTAGAGATAATATTTTATGATATTATGGAAAATAAACACATTGCCTGGAAATACACTTGTTACAGATTTTATCGATTGCTGGCAATTAAAATTATATATTTCTCAAAGATTCAACAACAACACAATACAGAGCTGTAACAAATTGTTGCATCAGGTTACATCAAGCAGACAAACCTAGTGTTACAACACCAACAATCTACAGTGAAAAACACAAGTTGTAAAACCCAACCAATTATCTACATGGAATCAAGTATATGAGAGATAGTAAATTAGTCTTAATTAGGGTTGTTCCTGGCGCTAATTTGACGCTAAGCCTAACCTAATCTGACTCCAGCAGTACTGACTCTATCGGACAATTAGCGGACAGTTAAAATGGCGGGTGGATAATTGGTGGAGCTGGACCGTGGTTGGTTGGTTTGTTGGTGTTACACCAGCTGGTTCCCTATATATATATGTGGGAATATAGTGGTAATAATGTGGTGATGGGAGAAATAATCACACGACGAGTTGGAAGAGGAATCTGCAAGCCATCCGAGAGAGAGGTGTAGCGAGAGGGCTGTCCGCTGAACGACTGCCTGTGTGGCCACACCCGACTACTGTCCCCAGGTGTTGACGGGCGGGGCCCTTTTGCCCCCCCTTTTGAATGTGACCGTTGGTGTCCCAAATGTCCGTACTTTTGCTGCGTTCTATCGACTACGTCTCTCTCTGGTCGACTGCAGATTTACTTTATTATTCCTGTAAGAGCATATATTATGACATATATATATATATACATACACTCATGGACAACACTTGTTATAGTTTATACAATATTACATAATATAGTATATCAGGGTTAAGTCAATTTCTCTCTCAACCATTCATCAAACAAACTTGATAAATGAGCCCCTCAATGCACAGATTGATTAACTCCATAAATAATCGGGAAAAAAATGTTTAATTTTTGTTGAAAGTCTAAAAATCTATATGTCATATAGATTTTTAGACTTTCAACAAAAATTAAACATTTTTTTCCCGATTATTTATGGAGTTAATCAATCTGTGCATTGAGGGGCTCAAATGTAGAACGACATTTGAAGATTATCACGAATGTCGTTCTACAATCATAAGCCGCATTATATTGTATTATAAATTACTTTAAAAAAAATATTTACGAACAGAGGAATATGTCCAGGGTAGCCTAGTGGACATGGCATCTGCCCGGTAAGCGGAACACTGTTGGGTTCGATTCCCATCCTTGGACACTTTTATTTTTCTGTTTATAATTACTTTTCACAATTCATCCTTTCATATAAAATAAAAGGATTTAAAAGCGCGAATGTTTATTTTATACAAAAAACGAACTTCTACTGTCCTTACTGCGATGAAAAAATATATTGGGAGGGCTTGGCTCATCAGTGGTGAACCCTCCCAGCGGTTTCGCCAATTTAATCCACCAGACCGCTTCTCAGAGCTCTAATACTGTATTGGATCATTCTGCTTTTATATGCTACACTGAAGGATGGAATCTTAGAAATGGTTTTCAAGTAAACTATGGACATAAGCTTATAGGACAGTAGAATTACATTCAAATATTTGCTTCGAGCAATGCTCTTCAGCAAACTATAAAGATAAGACCAGTTAGGCATAAATTAACACAAAGCAATAGCGCGCCATCTATATATATAAAATAAAAGGATTTAAAAGCGCGAATGTTTATTTTATACATAAAACGAACTTCTACTGTCCTTACTGCGATGAAAAAATATATTGTTTACTTGAAAACCATTTCTAAGATTCCATCCTTCAGTGTAGCATATAAAAGCAGAATGATCCAATACAGTATTAGAGCTCTGAGAAGCGGTCTGGTGGATTAAATTGGCGAAACCGCTGGGAGGGTTCACCACTGATGAGCCAAGCCCTCCCAATATATTTTTTCATCGCAGTAAGGACAGTAGAAGTTCGTTTTATGTATAAAATAAACATTCGCGCTTTTAAATCCTTTTATTTTATATATTTAGATGGCGCGCTATTGCTTTGTGTTAATTTATTCCTAATGGTCTTATCTTTATAGTTTGCTGAAGAGCATTGCTCGAAGCAAATATTTGAATGTAATTCTACTGTCCTATAAGCTTATGTCCATAGTTTACTTGAAAACCATTTCTAAGATTCCATCCTTCAGTGTAGCATATAAAAGCAGAATGATCCAATACAGTATTAGTGCTCTGAGAAGCGGTCTGGTGGATTAAATTGGCGAAACCGCTGGGAGGGTTCACCACTGATGAGCCAAGCCCTCCCAATATATTTTTTCATCGCAGTAAGGACAGTAGAAGTTCGTTTTTTGTATAAAATAAACATTCGCGCTTTTAAATCCTTTTATTTTATATATATAGATGGCGCGCTATTGCTTTGTGTTAATTCATCCCTAAGGTTAGAAGTAATCGTTATTTCTCCTTAAAATAAATTTCGATTTTTCGTTCAAAAGAAACACATGCGGGATAATCTTTAAATGTCGTTCTACAATCATAAGCCGCATTATATTGTATTATAAACTTGATAAATGTAATCCCTTCTAAAGTGATTTTTGATTAAAAATAGATAAATTTTATATTGTGATTTATTTCTATATTTTTTATATTCCAAAATCTATAATCATCTTCCCTGAGGTATCGTTAGCAGCTAGGACATTTATTAAAAATCCAGAATAAACAATAATTATTTACATAATGTATGCACGCGTCATATGTAATCAATACACTCATGGACAAAACTTAAGGAAGTTGTACCTTCCAGCATGTATATCGGGATTGAGACAATAACTCTGAAAGATATTACAGTGACCTTTATTGAAGTCACACGAGATAATCAATATACACTCATGGACAAAACTTAAGGAAGTTGTACCTTCCAGCATGTATATCGGGATTCAGACAATAACTCTGAAAGATATTACAGTGACCTTTATTGAAGTCACACGAGATAATCAATATACACTCATGGACAAAACTTAAAGAAGTTGTACCTTTCAGCATGTATATCGGGATTCAGACAATAACTCTGAAAGATATTACAGTGACCTTTATTGAAGACACACGAGATAACCAATATACACTCATGGACAAAACTTAAAGAAGTTGTACCTTTCAGCATGTATATCGGGATTCAGACAATAACTCTGAAAGATATTACAGTGACCTTTATTGAAGACACACGAGATAACCAATATAAACTCATGGACAAAACTTAAAGAAGTTGTACCTTTCAGCATGTATATCGGGATTGAGACAAAAACTCTGAAAGATATTACAGTGACCTTTATTGAAGACACACGAGATAACCAATATACACTCATGGACAAAACTTAAAGAAGTTGTACCTTTCAGCATGTATATCGGGACAATAACTCTGAAAGATATTACAGTGACCTTTATTGAAGACACACGAGATAACCAAGTGTGAACAATCTCTAACAAAAAATAAACGACCATTGGCATCAAAGACTTCCCACTTCCTTAAAATTTGTCTATAAGTGTGTATAAGCTAAAAAGACAGTAGAAATGAAAAAACATACTTGCATTGAACGTTGCTATTCCATAAAGAACTCACAGATATGCAAGTTAGGCCTCACCTTTCAATAAATGAATATTTAAACAAAACATAGCTTTAAATATATTCATAAAATTCTTCCATTTCTCTAGCTACATTAGACCGAGCATCAAATGAATGTTATATCTAGAGAGCTATAATTTAAAATATCGCTTTTTTAAAGGTCAATAAAGGAGAGGTAATGGGGACATAAAAAGACGTTTATAATCCGAATTGGAATAAAGATAAAACAATGATGGTTCAAAAATTGTGGATTTTCCCTCCAAGTATTTACGTTTTATTTCAGAAATAAGATTTTATTGGAAGCTTTATTTAATATTTTTATAAACTCAATGTTATGATGCACTAGCGCGCCATCTGTTATCAAAATTAGAAACTGTTCTAAACGCGTAAGATTCTTTTTGAAATTAAACAATTTCTACTGCTCTTACTTCAATGGAAAAATATATAACAGCGGTATGGTAGATTAAACTGGCAAAACCGCTGGGAGGGTTCACCACTGATGAGCCAGGCCCTCCCATTAATTTTTCCCTTGCAATAAGGGCAGTAGAAATTGTTTAATTTAAAAAATAATCTTACGTGTCTAAAATGGTTTCGAATTTTTATAGACTCAATAAAACCAACGGAAATATTCTATATACAGTTACGAGCGTCATGCGTTCTTAATAATTTTTCATCTCTGTCACCGTTTGCTTTTTTTTTTTGGAATGGCGCTCTCCTATTGGTTGGCTACGATCACGCCACCTTTGCCCCCCCCCCCCCCCCCCATCATGCCCCCCCCCACTCGCTTTTTCGTTTTTGTAACTATTGTGTTGGAGCGGGTCGCTCCTTAAATAAATGCATATATTAGTTAATAACTAAATGTAATCCTCTCTTTCTTTTTCCCAGTAAGAGACGCCTACGGAAGCCAACAGTACATAGACAGATAAAGCACATAGGCTATAGGTATTAACTAATATATGCATTTATTTAAGGCGCCAATTTATAATTGTAACAAATAGTATTTGAATCAAAACATTCAATCGGGTAAAACACGGGCGTTGCCCGGGTCATTCGGCTAGTATTCTATAAGTAGAAGTGAACATAATTACTTTATAGAGATAGAAATGATGAAGTATTTCTACAGAAAATGAACTTACACTCATGGACACACAAAACTTAAGGAACATGTACCTTTCAACATGTATATTATTCATATTTATTATTATATTGTCAAGTCGAAAATGAGCAAAGACAAATTCAGGATGACAAGCAGCATTTATTTAACATAAACATTAATTATAATTGATAAAATACCAGAGAATCAATGATGGAACTTCACTCAGAGTGATAAAATATATAAACATATCAAAATTAAAATGATTTGTTACTTTGCTACACAAGCAAGCTAAGCAAAGTACAATGTTTCTGTTACAAAATAACTTTATTAGGTACCGCTCAAAAAGATCAACCTAGCTTATGTTATTTACAATGGATATATGTAAAGTTTATTCACATATTAAAACATAGTGTTGATAAGGCACAATTTGGATTATAGATTATAAAACAAGGTAATAAGACCAATTCTAAATAAATAGTATGTGACGTTTCGGTAACAGGATAACAGTAGCTATTTGAAACATGCTGTGGTAAAATTTCTCATTCAGTACTTTTGTCTGAAGATGATAACAACGCTGTTACCTCAACGTCACACACTATTTATTTATTTAGTGGATTTGGTCTTATTACCTTGTTTTGTAACAAAGTGTCCAATACGGGATTAGATCTCAGCTCATGGCTGTCGGGAATCGAGGGTTTTAACCACTCGTCCACCGACCTCTTTTGGCAAAGTATTATATATATATATATGACATAATAAAAATCATATTTTTATTATTCATTAATATAATTATAATTTAAATAATCATAGAATTAACACAGAGTTAATTTTTTAAAATCCTTAACAAAAGGAGTACAACGCAATATTGTTTTTTTGTTTATACTTAGAATATCATATAGAATTGTATGTATGAAAACTGTTTGTTCTTAAAAATATAATCATTAAAATAAATTCAATTTTGGATATAAAGTTATCATTTTCAATTCAATCCACGACTGCATGAATGAATTGGTAACGTACCTAAAATACATCTTTTTTTACGACACCTTATTTAATAGTCGACAGGATGTATTTTAACCCTGTACGGGAAGAATTCCAATAGATTTCAAAGCCATATATTGCAACTAAGATATTTGGGAAAAGATATAGATAAAAGAATACCAATTATGGAAGTCGAAACTTTAATTAAGAAATTGAAAAGGATAAAAAAAAGTATAAAAGGCATTGAAGAAAATATCGAATCCATTGTGTCTATGGTAGATGTAAATGCAACGAAATGCAAACTAGAGTATGCAAATAATGATTTAATGAAAATGAATGATATTTTCTTGCAGCAACTTGAGGATGAGGATTTGAATGACGAAGTGGAAAATTGCATAGATAAGTGTATAAGATTAATGTGTGAATTGGATTTAAGGCATAATGGGCAAGAAACATCTGAAAAAAAAGTAAATTTACATGTTAAAATGCCTAAACTTGAATTGCCAACTTTCGATGGTAGATTAGAATCATGGCTTTCATTTAAGGATCTATTTTTTTCTGCGGTTGGTTCTAACTCA